GATTACAGATTTAGCCACAACTTCAAAATACCTTCACAGCAACACCTAGATTAGTGTTTGATTGCATAACTGGGTACTTTGGCCTTGTCAACTTGACATATACAGCTGGCCATCATGGTACAGCTCTTCTCCTGGGTAGTCAAGTGTCACCTTCCTGAGCAGGTAAGGGGTGAAGCAAGGGTGTGAGGAGACAGGGATTCAACTTACTCAGAACACATGATGATAACTTCTAATCAAGAGTTGAGAGACATATTGGAAGAATCTGCTCATTTTCCTTCAAACAAACATTGTGTTTGATGTATGAGCCAGAGCTCCTTGGTTTCCTCCAGTAGGATGGCTTGGGCCAACTCAGCTGCTGGGTTATGTATGTGACTTGAGACATTAGAGGTCAGAGTTCAAAGGTATGTTGTGGACACCACAGTGAAATAATCTATGTAAAGTGCTTCGTTTTAAAAACATTGGCTACTTTAGGGGCATCTGTGTGGTTCAGTTGGTTGTGTCTGACTCTTTACTTTGTCTCAGATCATGATCTCATGGTTGTGAGATTGAGCCCCACTTTGAGGGTGGGGCACAGCCAGGAGCCTGCTTGGGGTTCTCTCTCTCCCTCTCTCTCCACCTCTCTCTCTCTCTCTCTCTCTCCTCCTCTCAAAATAAATAAACTTAAAAAAACATTGGCTACTTTATCATTAATATGTCTTTTTTTTCTTTCCTGCTTATGAGATTGCAGTCAGCCTTTGGACTCAGCTCAAATGCCAGCCTCATGGTTGTCTTTTCTCACTTCCTTGGTGATCTCAGATAGTCCTATGGCTATAAATAGCATCTATTATGCTGATGCTTTTCAACTTGATAACTCTGCTCTGACTTCTCCCTTGAACTCCATATTCATATAACTAACTGCCTATATGATGTTTCCACGTGGATGACTATTAGGCATCTCAAATTTGACATGTCTCAAACAGAACTTTTGATTCTCTGACCCAAATATGCCCTTTCTGCAACCTTCCCCATCTCACAGGATGGCAGCTCTATTCTTGTTACTCAGGTCAGGAAGTTTGGAGTTCTTATCGTCTCCTCTCTTTCTCTCACACCGACCTCCAATTCACTAGCAAATTCAATTGGCTCTACCTGCCAAATATAACTAAAAGCAGACCACTCCTTTCCACCACTGCTGATCTCACTGTGGTCCCAGCCCTCTTCACTTTCTGGGTTATTGCAGAAACCTTCCCACTGGTCTCCTCTTGTTCACCATGCACCCCTAGTGGCTGTTCTTAACACTGCAGCCAAAGTGATTAGAAACTTAAGTCAGGGTTATGTCTCTGCTCAAAACAAACATCCTGGCTTTTCATTTTTCTTGGAATGAAATCTCAGGTTCTTAGGGTGGCCTTGAAGGCCCCACGTGTTCTAACAGTAACACCTCCTGCCCTCCCAAAGTAGCATTGATAATCTCACAAAAAGGGTGACTGAAAGAAGCCAAGTACAAGACCATACATACTTTATGTTTTTATTTATATGAAGTTGGAAACAGGCAGGACTTACCTATGCTTGAATTCAGGATAGTGGCCCCTTGGAGATGGGAATGACGAAGTGATTGAGTGAGGTGTCGGGGAGGTCCTAGGTGCTGGCATACTCTGTTTCTTGACCTGTGAAGTTGTTGCATGGGTATGTTCACTTAGTGACAAATCATCTAGCTATAACCTTACAAACTGTGCAACTTTTCTTTATGTTTGTTATACTTCAAGAAAAAACTTTAAAATCCCCCATGAGGTTTCAGATCTATAGGTTGAAAGACTCCACTTTTTTTTTTAAGATGTTATTTTTAAGTAATCTCTGTACCCAATGTGCAGCTCAAACTCACACCCCAAGATCAAGAGTCACACGTTCTACCAGCTGAGCCAGCCAGATACCCTAAAAAACTGCACTTTTAAAAGTTATTGCCCAGGTATTTAAAATCCTGTCTTGGTGACTTCTGGGCATCAGACTGTACATCAGGATTGGCAAACCCATATTACATGTCAACTCCACTCAGTTAGAGGTGGCTGCCTGGAGCACTGCACAGAGAGGAGTTTGGGGTCAGTTTCAGGACTCAGCAGCAGCAGTGTGCTATGACTGAAAATAGACTTATGTAATGATTGATGGGGAGAGAATTGGCCGCATGTGTGCATAGTACTAGCTAGTCCCATTGATGGTATAGTCAGGTATAAGACAATTTCTGTCTCACAAAACAGGCCCCAACTTAGAGCTGATTTCAGATTTCAGAAGCTCCATCATGAACCACAGACATTCTGTCGATCTCTCTGTCTCTGATTTCTTTGATGATCCACCACTTTCTAAACCCTGCTGCCATGCCCCTCAAATAGCATCCTCTATACTTGAAGTGCTGTCAGTTTCTGGCAGCAACTGCTTGAATAGCAGGTGTTCATTATTTCATCTTCCTTGTGTCCAGCCAGCCTCCAGCTGCCAGACTGGCAGCCCACAGCCAGACCCTTAACCTTATATCCAGATGCCACCCCTCAGCCTGGGTAGTCAGGAGACCCTGAAAATGCCACTGGAGAGTTGTGGATGGCCTCCCTCTGCCTTGTGAACAGAGGACTACAATGGACAGATCTATACTGTTAGCCATGTCCAGGTGGTTTGATCTACCATAGTTATCTTTAAGCTTCTTTTCATCTCAGATGAGGGAGAGTTGGGTGCCAAGATGCCTTTCTTTCTGTTTTTTAAACACAGGAAGCTTGTTTGCATCTCAGTGTTTTTACACTTGCTGCTACCTTTGTTTAAAACATTCTACACAGAGCCATCTCCTTCTCATTTAGGTTTTCAGCCTTCAAGTTTCTTCCTCAGAGACCTTCTCTCACCACCCTGAGTCATTCATTATTTCACTAATTCATTCCACAAATATTGTTGAACACCCACTCGTTGCCAGCGCTGTATCAGTGCAGTGATACAGCAATGAACCAAAGGAAGCAATGGAATCATATATCTACAGGGGGAGAGTAGAACAGTTAGTAAGTCAATATATAAATATATAATGTGGAGGTGATGACAAAGGCTGTGAAGAAAATTATAAACAGGGCAAGGAGGGATAGAAGGAAGCACCATCTTGGGTCAGATAAGTTAGGGGAGTCTCCTTGAGCAGGTGACAGTTGAAGCTGGATAAAGTGAGAGAATGAGCGCAGGAAATGTCTGGGAAACAGTGCTCCAGGCAGAGGGAGTATCAAATGTGAAGGCCCTGAACGAGGCTGCTGACTCTCTTCTAACATATGCTGTATCACGTTGTCCCACTTATTTTCTCCATAGTACCTACATGGTTCTAAATAAATAAATAAATTATTTACTTATGACTTACTTATTGTTTGTATTATGTTAAGGAGGCTCAGTGAGAGCAAGAATCTTACTTTCACTGCCTTATTTCCTATGCTTAGAATCGAGCTTCGTAAAAAGCAAAAAAAAAAAAAAAAAAAACAAACACAAAAAAACCCCTAAAAAGCCAAAACAAAACAAACCCCCCCACAAAAAACAAAAACCATGCTGAATAAATGGAAATGACTTGTTAACTTTCTGGTCAATTAGGCTCTCTTAATGCAAGCCACAGAAACTTACAAAGAAAAATAAAGCAAAACAAAACCAAAGAAGTTATTGGAAGGAAATGAGAGTTCACAGAATTACAGGCAACGCTGGAGAACAGGACAACAAAGCCTTGGAAAGCAAAGAGCAGAAACCAGGGCAGTCCCTGTGGTCTACTTGCAGGAATGATTGGGCGTCCCCACGCAGTTCTGCTGAGGATGTGACTCAGCTTCCCTGTTTCTCATACTGTGACTCTCCTCTCAAGAATCCAGTGGGACAAAGAGGGCTGGCTTCATGGGCATGCAACGTTCTGAAGAGTCCTGACTTTACTTAATGCTCCGCTGTTGCCATCTTGAAATTCTTAATAATCATTGAATAAGGGACTCTGCATTTTCGTTTCAGTAAGACATTAATTTGTTTAGAGCAGTTTTATGTTCATAGCCATATTGATAAAAGGCACAGCAATTTCTCATATACCCCTGACCTCACATGTGTATAACCTCCCCCATTATCAGCATACCCCACCGGAGTGGTGCATTTGTTACAACTGATAAACCTACACTGACACATCATAATTGCCCAAACTCCCCTGGGTACATTAGGGTTCACTCTTGGTGATGTTTGTTCTGTATAACATGTGTAAATGTATAACAGCATGTCTCCATCATTATGCCATCATATGGAGGATTTTCACTGCCCTAAAAATTTTCTGTCTTCCATCTATTCATCACTCCACATGTCCTCTCACCAAACCCCTGGCAACCATTGATGATTTTACTGTCTCCATAGTTTTGCCCTTTCTAGATAGTCATATAGTGAAATCATGCAATATTTAGTATTTTCTGATTGGCTTCTTTTTCACTATATAATAATATGTATTTTAGCCTCTTTTCTATCTTTTCATGGCTTGATAGCCCATTTCTATTTATTTGTTTATTTTTAAATATTTATTTATTGAGAGAGAGAGAGAATGCACTTGGGGGAAGCTCAGAGAAGGAGAGAGAGAATCTGAAGCAGGCTCCACACTGTCAGCATGAAGCCCTTCACGGGGCTTGACCTCATGACCTGAGCTGAAAAGAGTTGTACGCTTAAGTCACTGAGCCACCCAGGTTCCCTAGTGCTGGGCTAGTGCTGAATTTCTTTTCAGTGCTGAATGATATTTCATTGTCTGGATATACAACAGTTTATTTATCTCTTCATCCACTGAAAGACATCTGGTTGCTTCCAAGTTTGGGCAGTTATGAATAATGTTGCTCTAAACATGCATGGACAGGTTTTTGTATGACAGAAGTTTTCAACTCCATTTGGTAAGTACTGAATCATATGATAGGAGTGTGTTTAGTTTTGTAAAAAAATAAATAAATAAACAAAAAACCCCCCGAAACCTTGCCAAAATGACTTCTAAAGTGGGTGTTTCATTTTGCATTCCCACCAGCAATGAATGAGAGTTCCTGTCACTCCACATCCTCCTCAGCATTTGGTGCTGTCAGTGTCTGGATATTGACCATTCTAGTAGGTATGTACTAGTCACTTGTTTCGGTTTGCATTTCCCTGATGACGTATGATATGGAACATCATTTCATTTGCTTATTTGCCACCTGTGCATCTTCTATGGTAGGGTCTCGACTCTGGTGTTTGGCTCATTTTTAAATAGAGTTCTTGTTGTTGAGTTTTAATCATCTATTTGGGATAACAGTCCTTTATCGGATGTGTCTTGCAAATATTTTCAACCAGTCTGTGGCTTGTCTTCTCATTCTTTTGACATTGCCTTTTGCAGAGCAGACATTTTTAATTGTAATGAAGTCCTGCTTATCAATTATTTCTTTCATGGATTGTGCCTAAAAAGAGTCATTGCCATACCCAAGGTCATCTATTTTATCTTCTAGGAGTTTTATGGTTTTGCAGTTTACATTTTTAAAATGTTAGAAAGGGAGTCATTCTTTTTGTAGGCATGGTAGCGATTCTTTTTGCCTTTTGTTTTCATTAGTACACATGTGTAACAAGGAAGTGATCTGTGGATCCACATTTTAGAAACTACAAATATAGGTTTGAATTAAATACTAAAAAAAGATAAATCTGTGATCCATTTTGAGTTAATTTTTGTGAAGATAAGGTCTATGTCTAGATTAAATTTTTTTGCATGTGATGTCCAGTTTTCCAGCATTATTTGTTCAAAAGACTATCTTTGCTCCATTATATTGTCTTTGTTCCTTTGTCAAAGGGCAGGTTGGTTATATTTGGGGAGATCTATATCTGGACACTCTATTGATCCATTTGTCTATTCTTTTGCCAATAATTCACTGTCTTGATTGTTGTGTCTTTATAGTAAGTCTTAAAATTGGATAGTGTCAGTCCTTCAACTTTGTTCTTCTTTAATATTGTGTTGGCTGTTATGGGTTCTTTACTTCTCTATAGAAACTTTAGAATTAATTTTTAGGATTCACAAAATAACTTGCTGGAATTTTGATGGGGACTGCATCAAGTCTGTAGATTAAGTTGGGAAGAACTTACACCTTGACAATATTGAGTCTTCCTTGCCATGAATATTGATTTTGTCATTAGAGATTTGTAGTTTTCCTCATACAAATCTTATACATATTTTGTTAGATTTATATATAAATATTTAATTTGGGAGGATGCTAATGTAAATGGTATTGTGTTCTCAACATGAAATTTCACTTGTTCATTACTGGCATATAGGAAAGTGATTGAGTTTTGTATATTAACCTTATATCAGTGCATTTTCATTTTGCACTGTAAATTCCTGGGGCAAGCTTGGGTTGTGCACCTACCCTTTTGTTAGAGAAAGGCCAGGGCAATATGCCTGGCAGCTCCCCCAAGGTTTTCCTAAAGGAAAATGGAGGGGAGCTGGTGGATTGGGATGGGAGGTAGGCATATAGAACAACCATGCTGGAATTCTGTCATATACTGGGTTTGTTAGGGGATAGAGAAAGTGGAATTGGCCATCTGTTTCTAACTTAGGAAACAAATCTTTTGTCTATATCCACTGTCACCCATAAATGCTGTTTTCCCCAGGCCAGGCAGGGTTTGGAAACCTGCTGTTTGTCTCTCAGTGTCTGTGAATGGTTTTCCCAATTGTTCCATGTTGTTCAAAGAGGGAGTTCTGAGTTCATGCATGTTGAATTCTTGTTTGTAAATCATGTATAATGTAAAAAGTAGTATTTTCTCATTTTTTTGTTTCATGAAAACCACAAGAAAAATAGTCTTTTTTTTTTAATGTTTTATTTATTTCTGAGAGAGAGAGAGACAGCATGAGCAGGGGAGGGTCAGAGAGAGAGGGAGACACAGAATCCAAAGCAGGCTCCAGGCTCTGAGCTGGCTGTCAGCACAGAGCCCGACATGGGGCTCGAACCCATGAACTGTGAGATCATGACCTGAGCTGAAGTCAGCCGTTTAACCAATTGAGCCACCCAGATGCCCCAAGAAAAATAGTCTTAATTGTATGCATAATTATATATTATTTTAACTCCCCTCGTGGTTCTATTGCTACCTCTCTGTGGTAAACTTTTGGGTTTCCAAAGGTGTATTCCTGTAGTTTCCTTGTATAGCATCCCACCTATTAGGCACTTACTGGCACTTTTAAAAGAGTGTGCTACTGTTCTGTTCTTTCTTCATGGCAAGTTAAGGGTAATTGTATGGCTTTGGGCTCTGTTAATTGAATGGGTTTAAAAATATATAACCAGCTGAGTCCTAGAGACTTTGAAAACTCTTAGCCTGCTTTTATTGTTAAGTGATTCCCCCAGTTTTTGGTTCAATATGGGCAGCTGGCCACTCACTCCCCTCAGCTCCCGCCCTCCCCAGATCCGGCTGAAATGTCAGAAAAAGTATGAGAAATGCATCCACAAAAGCACTGTAAATTGTAGGCTTTGAACATTTTTAAAAGACAGAAGGTAGATGTAATCAAATGATGGAGAAATGAGCCTAGATAAAAATTGCAACTCTGAACAGTCTTGGGCATGGATGGGTAGAGGGGTAAGAACCATTCTTCCTCATGGACTCTGGAGCACTTCTAAGCTTAGAGGCAACAGAGTTTACCAGGTCAGTGACAGAGAGCAGATGGTGAGAAAAATTGCAACTTACAAAATCAAGATACAAATCAACATATATATAGAGAGAGAGCTCCTACAAGAAAACATCAAAATGCTCAGTAGAAAAACACAGAAAAAGAGCACTGGGTGTTATATGGAAACCAACTTGACAATAAACTATTTGTAAAAAAAAAAAAAGAAAAGAAAAACACAGAGAAAGGAATGAAAATGGTAAAAAAAAAAAACCCAACCTATAAATAATGTGAACTTCACTAATAATCAGAAAATTGCAGATTGAAACTATGCTGAGATGTAATTTCTAGCTGAAGAGGTGTGTTAGTCAAGGTTCTCTAGGAAAAGAGAACCAATAGGCTGTGTAAATATGTGTGTGTGTGTGTGTGTGTGTGTGTGTGTAATAGATCACTTTAAGGGATTGGCTCATGTGATATGTGGAGGCTGGCAGGGCGTGTGGGCAGGCTGGAGACCCAGACAAGAACTAATGTTGCAGCTGCAGTCTGAAGGCAGAATTCCCTCTTCCTTGGGAGACCTCAGTCTTTTTCTCCTAAGGTCTCCAACTGATTGGAAGTCTTGCTCACATTACTAAGGGTCATCTGCTGCACTCAAGATCTACTGATTTCAAAGTCAATTTCATCTAAAAAAATACTTTTAGAGCAACATCTATCTAGACTGGGATTTATTTATTTATTTAAAAAAATTTTTTTTAATGTTTTATTTATTTCTAGGAGAGAGAGAGAGACAGTGTGAGCAGGGGAGGGTCAGAGAGAGAGGGAGTCACAGACTCTGAAACAGGCTCCAGGCTCTGAGCTGGCAGTCAGCACAGAGCCCGACGCGGAGCTCAAACCCACGAACCGCGAGATCATGACCTCAGCGAAAGTTGGACGCTTAACCGACTAAGCCACCCAGGCGCCCCTAGACTGGGATTTAAACAAATATTTGAGTACCATGGCCTCACCAAATTAACGCATAAAATTAACCATTACAGTAGGCAATTTTTTTTTTTTTACAAATAGTTTAGTCAAATTAGTTTCCACATAACACTCAGTGCTCATCCCCACAAGTGTCCTCCTCCATGCCCATCCCCCCTTCCCCCCACATTCATCAGTCCTCAGTTTTTGTCAGCATTCAAGAGTCTCTCATGGTCTGCCTCTCTCCCTTTCCCCCACCATTTCTGCCCTTCTTCTCCCCCTTGTTCCTGGGTCAAATTCCTCCTAATCCTCCTATACGTGCAAACATATGATATTTGTCCTTCTCTGCCTGACTTATTTCGCTCAGCATAACACCCTCAAGGTCCATCCATGTTGCTACACATGGCCAGATTTCATTGTTTCTCATTGCCATGGAGTATTCCATGGTATAGATAAACCACATCTTCTTGATCCATTCATCTGTTGATGGACACTTAGGCTCTTTCCATGTTTTAGCTATTGTTGAGAGTGCTGCTATGAACATTGGGGTACATGTGCTCCTATGCCTCAGCATTTCTGTATCTCTTGGGTAAATTCCTAGCAGTGCTATTGCTGGGTCATAGGGGAGTTCTATTGTTAGTTTCCTGAGGAACCTCCACACTGTTTTCCAGAGGGGCTGTACCAGTTTACACTTCCACCAACAGTGTAGGAGCGTGCCCATTTCTCCACATCCTCACCAGCATCTCGAGTTCTCTGATTTGCTCATTTTAGAGTAGGCAATTTTTTTTAAAAGATTGATAATATACATTGTTTCTAAGAAGTAAGAAAAAGAGAAATTCTTCTATACTGTTGCTGGGAGAGTCTATAGAATGACTAGGAACAGACAAAACAGCCATTTGGCAGTTTCTACAGAAATCTAAAATACACATAGCTTTCACTCTAGACTGGTTTTGCTGGCTTGTCTCTGACTGGCTGTGTTGTCCCACCTGAGGTCACTGCTGCTGTCTTGGTGGCCCTGGTCCTACAATCTCCTCTTCTGGGTCCAGTAACTGCTCCCTCCCCTGTGCCTTCAGGGCTGGGGGCGGCATCAGCTCCAGCTGCAGAGCTACACCCCCTGCACTGCTGTAAACAATGCCCTTATTAGTCTTCTTCCCAGTCTCCTGATTTGAGTGTGCTTTCCTCCTGGGGCCTTGCCGGATACACCCGGGCATCATCCTGGATTCTCCTGTCTACCACCAAGACATATCAATAAAATCCTCTTTATTCCTTTTCCCTCCTCCAGCCACTGAACTAGTTTCTTAACTCAGACCATTATCATCTTTAGCCTGGATTTCTGAAAAACTTTCCTGACTACCTTCCTTGCGTTCAATCTTGTCTTCCTCCAGAACACTTTTCTGTTACTGCTAAAAAATTTTTCCCAGATGAAAACCTGATTGTACTGTATTTCTCTACTTAAAATCTTGTAATGGTTCCCCAATGCTCTTAGAATAAAACTCAGTCTCCTAAGTGAGGATTCTGGGTCCTGTGCTGTCTGGTG